ATTGTACATAAATATTATGCATGATAGTTTTTTAATAAGCTAAGATTATGAAATAAAATTAAGAAAATGTAATATATTTGTAGATAGCTTTTGTTATAAATTTATGAGTGTATCTTGTACACTATAATAAATTTATGTAAACTATAGGACTTTTATCTTTTACATTTTACTAAATTTAATAAGATATTCGACTAAAAAAATATAATATACATACGATTATTCTGAAAAATTACACAGAATAATTAATTAATTTGTACATAAATTATTATTAATATTTTTTTTAAATTATATTACTTATCCTTAATGTTGTTTTTTACGTATTTTAACACTGGACAGTTCCAGATTCTTGTGTCATTATTGCCTAAATAATTTTTATTGACTATTTATATTTTTTCCAGATGGATTCTTATTGGGAAACGGTTACTTTGTGCCTTATTCGAATATTTGTTACGAAGATGTCATCAACCTAAAACATACGACAGGTGAAAAAAATTTCAATGTCGAAGGTGTCTCAAAATCTATGAACACAAGTATACACTTCATCGGCACCTGAAATTTGAATGCGGAGTTGAGAAAATGTTCCAGTGTTCACAATGTCTTTTTAAATTTCGAAGAAAATGTCATTTAAAATCGCATTTGATGAATATACATAATATTGTAATGGATTGAATTTATAGCAATTTTAAAATCATCTGAAAATGAGAATTAAAGTTCCACTATTTGATGCTTGATTCAGCCTTTTTGGATTGGGATCTTGAATTAACATTCTTTACTATTAACTCAAGATCTAAATCCAAAAAAGGCTTATTCTTCTTTGACCATCATATAGTACAATTTTTATTCTTATTTTATATTCATTAGATTATTAAATTTGATTTATTTCAACTGGATATTAACATTTATTTGATGAATAAAATAAATTATAATTTATCCACATTTGTGTTTGTTACATTTAAATTCAAAGAAATTATAAATTTTAGTATCTGTGATATCACTGTAATCACAATTTTAATATATCTCAAATTCAATCAAATTTTGTTAGTTTTAGAATATAATACAAATCTGAAATTTATTTTATTTACCCAATAAGATCTTTATTATATGTATTAATAATTAGTTTTGTAGAAGGATGAATATAGCAGTAAAGCAATATTGATATTAGTTATTTAATAGCAGAGAAAATAAAATTATATTTTAATTTTAAATTATAATTAATTTATTAGGTTCGGAAATCTGCATATGGTTTTGTTCTAATATTTCATTTTAAATTTTTTATATTTTCTTATAATTTGAAATATTAACCCTTTTCACTCGCGAATTGCAAGGTTTATATGAACTATGCCGCCGGAGCGACTGCATCCAAGTGGAAAGGGTTAAAAGTTACGTGATGCATCTAAAAATGTACATTCTGGTATATTACATCGCTAATTATTTATAATAAATCCAGTATTTTTATTATGAACGATGTTTATGGAAAATAAATTTCATCTTTTTACGTTAGTTTTGAAAGCAAAAATGTATTGTTTGTGCTAATTTATTATTTTTATATTGTTTTATGTATATTCTATTTACAAGTTGAGATATTAAAATATATCCAGGTGCACCTAAAATTGCACATTATGATATATTGCATTGAATCTATTAAATATATTAACTAAAATATTTTTTTTTAATTCTAATGTCGTTATAAAAAATGTCATTTTTGGGCGTATTCCGTACATTTTTAAAATAATGAAATTTAAAGTATCAGAAAAACATGTTTTTATTAAGTATGTTTAGCTATGAGCTAAAATTATTATTATTATTATTATTTAAAATGTTTTTTTTTTTCATGAAAATACTTATATACAACCATCATTTTTGTGATTTATTTTATCCTTTATATATGCGCTTCATAAATATTTTTAGAGGTATTCTTATATAATTGAAAAAATATAAATAATAAGGATAGTATAAATTTTATTTCAAAGTAACTTATATAAAAGAGATATTAAAATTATATTTTTAATTTTTTTTCAAACATATTTAAAATTTCTATTTTATATCTTATATATCATAGCTTTCGTACATTTTAAAAATAATGTAAGTTACTATAATAAAAAAATGTTTATTAGTCTTATATAAATGATATATTTTATATAAATCTTAAAAATAATTAATTGATTGGTTGGATATATAAGCAAATTTTTATAAGACACATATGGTATTTGAATGGTATTTTTTAGAAGTACATTAATCATGGAAAAAATAATATCATGTAAATAATTTTATGCGTTTGCATGCACTATTTTATGAACGCTGTAAATGTTTTATAACTTAGAAACATTACAATTGAATGTAACTTATATAAAAGTGTTAATAAAAACTATATTTTTTATGTGTTATGTATGTCTAAAATATTTTATATCACCCACGCTTTTATATTTTATATTTGATAATTTGAATAAATATTTATATTTTGCATATATTTTGTTGACTTAATAAAAATCATCAAAACATTTCTAAATTCTAGAGCATTATTTATTTGTTACAAAAATTAATAGATACTATTAATTTTTTTTATATCAATAATTTTTGATGCTATATACAGTAGAACTTCGACTATCCGGACTAATTGTTGTCCATTGGCATTCGGATAATAAAGAAAATCCGGATAAGCAAATGTATGAATAATAATGTTGTGTATTTAATAAAAATAATAAATACATACATAGATATCAACAAAAGTAATGTTTATTAAGAAATTGAAGCTTCCTTATATATGTACATATATGTTTTCTTAGATTACATTACATACAATGAATTGTAAATGTAAATTGTCAACTGAACTGCGGCATTAATCATGCTAAAAATTAAATTCTAGATATGTATGTACATAAAAATCGGTCACGGTTGGTAGTCCGGATAATCGTAAATTCGTACAACCAAGGGCCGGATAAACGAGGTTATACTGTAGACGCATTATTTATTTATTACAAAAATTAATAGTAATTGAATTCATTCATCTAAACTATTACTAACATCTATCCTATGTCTTTTACCCCCAGATATGATACCTGGACTCACCTTCTTCGACAACCGCTCCGGAAGCCGATCAATGAATAAATATTTGGGCAGAAATTCTATACCAGTGGTGTACACCAGTGATGGAGATATGCTGCACCAGTGCCCGGACTGCCCCCGGAATTACCGGCATGCAACGGGCTGGTACAGGCACCGGAAATACGAATGCGGGAAGGAAAAACTTTTTGAATGTCTGCTCTGTCACCAGAAGTTCCACCAGAAGAGCAACTTGAAGACACATTCTATGAAACATACCAGGAAATACAAATTTGGGGGTGGAGACGCATTTATTGTATAATAATTTTGTTTATAAACTGGCAGATTCTACGAGAATTATTGGAAAATTGTAATTTTTTTTTTTTTGATTTTAGTTGGCCTCGCTTTGTCTGACCATTTAGCCACCTACAACAGTTTTATTTATTTACATTCTTTACTAATTTTTATATTATCAGGAAATTCAAGTATGGAGTTGGAGACGAATTTATTGTATAATAATTTTGTTTATAAACTGGCAGAATCTAAAAAAAATATTGAAAAATTGTATTTTTTTTTTTTTTAATTTTATTTGGCCTTGATTACTCTGAGCCACCTATAACAGTTTTATTTAATTACATTCTTTACTAATTTTTATATCGCCAGGAAATTCAAATATAGAGTTGTAGACAAATTTATTGCATAATAATTTTGTTCATAAACTGTCAGGATCTACATGAATTACTGGAAAATTGTAAAGGTTTTTTCTTAATTTTATTTAGCCTTGCTTTCTCTGAACAGTTAGCCACCTACAATAGTTTTATTTATTTACATTCTTTACTAATTTTTATATCATCAGGAAATTCAAATGAGGAGTTAGAGACACTCAAGTTTTATGTATTTACATTATTTACTAATTTTTATATCATCAAGAAATTGAAATATAGAGTTGGAGACAAATTTATTGCATAATAATTTTGTTTATAAACTGGCATCAGAATTATTAGAAAATTGTATTTTTTTTTAATTTTATTTGGCCACATTAATATCTTTTTATTACAATTGATTCTAAATACTAATATTTTTTTGTTAATAAAGGTTTGTCATGATCACAACCTTCTATTCTATTTTATAAAATTATAGAGATCGAACCCTATTAATCATGACTTCCTATACTATTTTATAAAGTTATATAGAGATTATATTCTCTATGATTTTATAAAATAAGACAAACTTGAATTAATGTACTGTACATTTGGTATTTTATATCACAGTTGATTATAAATGTTAATGTTTACTGTTGCTTAAGGTTTGTCATGATCTCTATAATTTTATAAAATAAGAGACACTTGAATTGATTTACTGTACATTTAGAATTCTTTTTAATCAAAATTGATTATAAATTCTGATGTTTTTTTGTTACTAAAGGTTTGCCATGATCTCTATAATTTTATAAAATCAAATAGGAAAAACTTGAATTGATGTAATGTACATTTGTCTTTTTTTTAATCACAATTGATTGTAAATACTAATGTTTTTTTTTGTTACTGAAGGTTTTTCATGATCTCTAATATTTTATAAAATAGGACAAACATGAGTTTATGTTCTGTAATTTGGGCATACTTTTTTATCACATTACATTTTTTTATAAACTCACAGCATGGTATTGAATTGATTAATTTCATTAATTTGCAGTTTTTTTTCAAGATGACATGACATATTTCAAACCTATTATAGTTTATGAAATCATGTTATAATTTACATAGGTGTTATAATTTACATGATAATATGAATGAAATTATTTTTTTAAAGTGATCAAAGAGTAAAAAAAATTATATTTTTTTTGTTTAACTAGGTAACTAGTATATTATACATAATTTTAAATCTTTTTAAACATTTTTTTTAATAACTTTAATTGTAAATACAAAAATAATAACTAAAATGACTATAATGACTAGAACTACTCATAAAATTCATTCATTTATTCATTTTTAACAGTAGAAATAGGCTTCATGATATAAAAAATTATAATTGTAATTTTAAAATATAAAGATTATTTTAAAATGTTACTTGATACGATTGATAGATATCAAATAAGTTTGATCAATAATACTGAATACAGTTAAGTATTTTTGATAAAGAACTTTTGTGGTGCTTCTATAGTCTAATTAAAATAAATTGTATATAATTAGACTTTTAGCAAATACGTATTAGTAATAATTCATCGTTGATTTTTTTGTTTGTTATTATTGTAATGATCGAATATTGAATACATTTTTTAATAAAGGACTGATTTTTTATTCATTTTTAAAAATAATGAGAAAATTGTAATATTTTGGCCTGAATTTTTCTTAGGTGTATATTGTAATAAAATGCATATAAATACCTATATATAAATATATTTTATCATTGACTATATGAATTACTTCTAACATATATCATTTTTATTCCAGGTTACTCTGACTGGTCGTTCTATCAAATTGAGCAAGAAACTTATGTCAGAAAAAGTCAACAAGGAACCAAAAACTTTTTCTGTCCCAACTGCAAAAAGGGCTACGTTCACGGTCGTGGTCTTCATCAACACATGAAATATGAATGTGGCAAAGAGCCGCAATTCTTTTGCCCTCAATGCCCTTACAAATGCCACCTAAAGGGCAACTTGGCAAGGCATTGTATATCACAACATAATATTAAACTGGGCGCCGAATGCCATCTTAGTACCAGGAATAAATCTAGCCGGTCGTTACTAGTTACTAATTTCCTAGGAACCAAGTTATAAAAGGCAATTTGGAACAAATTTAGTCAAAACATAATTTCGATTTAAGCTAAGGTAAATACCAGTTACCATTCTTTCTGGTTTGGCACAGTCCCGGATTTCCACCTTGTGTCCCGGGTTTTTCAAAATGCAATATTTGTCCCAGATTTATATTTTTTGTCCCGAATTTGGGAAAAGTATAGGTCTAAATAGAATCTTCGTTCTTACTAAACTTCACATTATTAATTTTGAAGTTTTAGTTTTAATTTTACGAAAATTATCAAAAATAATGAAAATGATCTTTTTGACTGCTTGGAATGAGTGTTAATTATATTTAAATAATTATGAAGAAAATTGAACAATGTTTTGTAGTAAGTGAGAAAAAATATATAGATTCAAAAATATGATATAAAATATAACATATATTCTAATAATGAAGTTCTTAGTCATTAATTCTGATACAAAAAAAAATTAAAAAAATATCAAGAAGCAAAAAATATGGTCACCTTATATAAGCTGTCATTTTTCTAGGAGCTAATTTATAAAACCAAATTTATAATTTGTTTAAATTTATTAAATTTAATTAATTGTTTTAGCTCATTTTACCAAATGATTTAAATAAATGATGAAAATGATACAGATTCCAAAAGTCATATACTCGTATATGGTAACAAATTCAAGAACTTTTATATACATATAATATATATAAATATATATATATATATATATATAATATATATATATATATATATATATATATATATTTGAAAATTTTTACTAATAATAAAAACCAATATAAAATAATTATAAACATAGAGAAACATTATACATACACCAGGACAAAAACACTCAAAAAAATATTATTTTAAAAAATTAAACTTGTAACATATTAGAAAAGGACATTTTTTGGAAAAATAATGAATAACTACAAAATTAAAATATATATATATATATATATATATATATATATATATAAAATTGTATATATATAATGTGTGTGTGTGTTGTGTATGTATTGAATAAATCCTGAGCTTTGTTTCTTTGACATGAAAAATATATTCCTGAATATATGTATATATTAATTTAAAAAAATTAATATTATGTAAATTACAATTATGTGCATGACATATTAATTTCCTTAAAAATGAAATAAATATTTGTTTATATGAGAAAATTATTTAACAAAGTTATTTATTAATTTCATTTTATTATATTACTATAATAAAATTTTACTATATTGTATATAGTAAAAAATACTATTATAAATGATTTCATCTATGAAATAAAAATGGCCCTTAATGGTATTGCTGCATCAAATTAAAAATTTCTCTAATCTGCGAAAAGTTAATCATAAAAATATATCAAATATTTTAGATGGCCAACCTTTGGGTCGCCATCTAAAATAAGTCGCATTGTTAAGAAGTATCATTACAACAGGACTCTCTAATTCTTATTGCTCATAATAATTAAACTAAATTGTACTATTACCATTTTTATGCAAGCGAGGATAATGTAAATCATATTTTCAAAGTATTAAATATTCTATAATATTATTTACAATATTTAATATTGATTAAAGTAGTCTCAATCTGAACGTAAACATTACTTTCATATATGCATGTACTACATAAGTTTATTTAAACTCTTAATTTGTTATACAATTATTATTTTATTAACACCAACGCTTATTTCTTTGCAGGATATTTCGACATGTTGTCCCATGCTAATAATACAAATAGATATCCACTGGAAAATTACAAAATCAGAAGATTCGTCTGTCCTAATTGCTCGAGAAGTTATGCTTATTCGCATGGTTTGAATCAACATATGAAATTCGAATGCGGAAAAGAACCCAAATTTGTGTGTACACAATGCCCTTACAAATCTCACCAGAAAGGGAATTTCATTAGACATTGTTCAACACGGCATAATATCGACGCTCGTGCCCTGGGGTTCACATAAAGAAGGGACAAGATAGGTGTCCTGTGCTACACCATGATTAATGAATTTGATAGAACTTATTTACATGATAGATATCACGAAAGTTTGCATTAAATGAGGTTTCTATCAGACATCGTGAGGATGTTGGGTTACACAAACTAGTCATGTGTGCGATACAGTCTCGGATGGCTAGATATCAGGCAGCATGATAGACCTCAAGTGAAACTTGCCTTTCTTGCCACACATAGAAAAATGGTTAACCAATGCCCTAGAGTTTACCTAAAAAAGGAACAAGATATGTGCCCTGTGCTACACCATCATCAATAAATTTGATAGAGTTCACTTACTTGTTAATCATGACAAAACTTAGGTGTATATCTAATATAGTTGCCACACATAGAATAATGGTTAACTAATGCCCTAGAGTTTACCTAAAAAAGGGACATAGGTGCCCTGTGCTACACCATCATCAAAAAATTTTATAAAGCTCATTTACATGATAGTTATCACGAAATTTTGGTTTATTATAAGTTTGTATTATATGAGATTTCCATGAGACATCTCGTCGTCGCGTAACGAACAATGATGTTGGCTAACACAAACTAGTCCCGGGTTCGATCTCAGCGTCGGTTGGCTAGATATCAGGCAGTATGATAGATCTGTAGTGAAACTCGCCTTTCTTGGACATATCATCATACGCATATAACTCTTAGATGTAAATTTAATATAGTTGGCACGTATAGAGGAATGGTTAACCAATGGGTTGCCCCTCATGAAACATTAGGTTAAGTTTTCAAAAAACATCTTATAGGACAAGAATTTTTGAGTGATTCTGAAAAAAGTTATAAAATTACTATCAATTGTATTGTGATTGGTTATATATTATAAAAAAATCACTTTGCAATTAATCAAGTATGGTATTGTATTTAGTCTTGTACATATAAATACATTTGTACATGTGAGAAATTAATAAATGGTTAAGAATGTTAAGATGTAAATAAATTGTATAAACTTAATTTCCATTGATTGCCAAAATATTATAATGAGAATTTTAATAAAACTTTGATTATGTGCTTGAATATATAAGTAATGCTTGTTCTTGATTTCTTTGCTTATATAAATATTTATAATTATAAATAATAAAATTAACTAGTCAATCATAAAAAATGTATTTTTTGTAAATAAATTTTGAAAAGTAAAACTTATTTGTTTCCATGTAATTGCTAGTTTTTAGAATTTTTGATATAATGTAACAAATGTTCAAAATTTAAAAAATATTAATTATATTTAATTAATTGATGATGTCAAGAATTGAAATATTATATTGGCATCATGGTTGAATAATTATGAATCATATGTTCAATAATTATAAATAAAAAATAACCATGAATTATAATGTATATACACTTTATACAAGTACTTGATTACAACTATAGCATTTTTAGTACACAACTTTTTTCAATATGATTATGCCATAATATTGTCTAACGATAAATGTCTGTTCTGTACGATGAATTAAAATACATCAATCCAAAAATTAAAATCATTCATACATCAACCATACATCAATCCAAAAATACCAGGGTTGTCATTGATAACCAATAACTTTAATTATTAAGTAAATTATTAGACTATAATTATTCTTATTTTTGCAGATTTCTACAATGCCTTTCCTCGCAAAATCTTCGAAACACCATATAACCATAGCCGTCGAAGTTTTGAAGAAACCAAGAAGTACGTCTGTCCCAATTGCAGAAGAAGCTACGTCTATCCAAATGGTTTGAGCCAACATATGAAGTTCGAATGTGGCAAAGAACCCCAATTTGCTTGCCCAATGTGCCCTTACAAATGCCACCTAAAGGGCAACTTGGCAAGACATTGTTTGTCACAGCATAATATTAACATCAGCAAGAAAACTTCAAATATGATCATGTGAATACAGACTAATATCAGTCTATAACCTATGGCCTAATTCAACTTTATTTGTGACTTGTCTCATAAATGTAAAATTAGTACAAATTGTATTATTATTGACAACTAATTTATTGTTTTGGAATATGTTTCAAATATACTGTATGAAAACCAAAAAATTGTACAGCTGATATTCTTTTATTTTCACTTGTAAACTTTTTTTGGATGTGAAGTATAAGTAGTTGGTTGCAATCAATAAATCTGTTATATGAGGAAATTATGGAAAAACGAGACGAACAAAATATATTTGTATTTACTAAAACTTTGTTATTACTACTTTTAATTTCTAAAACTTCAAATTTTTTATTATTAATAAATTTAATTTAATAGTTAATTTTTAATAGCAAAAATTATGTGTGAAACATATAGATCAGAAAAAAATTCTTCAGGGCAGTATTGGAGACTAGGGACAGTTTTGCCAGGGTACGGCAGTGACAGTCGTTATACCAGCTAAACTTTATTGATTTTGATATAGGGTCCGAAGAAAAAAAAAAGTATGTTTGTCCGAATAAGTTTCCTCTATTGTATTGAGTCAGCGCCTTACATTAACACATCATCATATTTGGAAATGTATGAAAATAATGAAAAATACATACTATGAAAATTATTCAAAAATTGATTCACATATTTTAAAATATAAATTGATATAAAAAGATTATTTGTAGTACTTGAAATAGTTGTGCGGCTCTAATACTACTTGTATATTTTATATTTATTGGGTTAATGTTAAACTGATTATTTTGTATATACGTATAATTAAGAATTAGTCAAAATTGGTTGAGAATTTGTGTAATTCAAAAAAAAGAGTAGATATGATGCAAATTTTGGACCTGTTTTCTTAAAAAAAAATTACAATATTTATTACAACTGTTAAATAGTTAACATCTAGCAATATTGATAAATAATAACATAAATTTAAATAAATAAGATTGCAAAGGATACAATTTACATGAAAATAATATCCGTAGTATGATGGACCAAATTTAGACATGAAAATGAAATAACTAAATTTTGATCAGGTTGCATAAACATTTCGGTTTTATAGTAAAAAATACATTCTGTGAAAATACTTTCTAACCGTCAAAAATACTTTTTCCTTGACCAAATAAATGTACATATATAAATTTGATGTCCTGTATCTTCCTCTATCTAACATGTTTTTAATTTTTGCAGATTATTCTGACCAGAGTTATTACACCTATTCTGAATATCCACGGGTCATCCAAAATCACCAAAGATTCAAACAATTTGTATGTCACAGCTGCCAGAAATCATATTCATACGAACGTGGACTCACGCAGCATATTAGATATGAATGTGGGAAAGAACCTCAATTTATTTGCCCAAAATGCCCTTACAAATGCCATAGAAAAGAAAGTTTTGTCCGACACTGTTGGGCTCGGCATGATCTTAATGCCCGAGAGCTCAATTATTGTTGACTAGAAGGGCTTGAGAGATAAAAATGTACCTGTGATAGCCAGAATCTTGCTTTTTGGCTATTTTCCTTAGTTTTAGTGTCGTACAAGTGATACCGAACCAAACCAAAATTTTATATTTAATAATATACTTATAATTTATTTATTATATTATTTATCAGATATACCAAAAAACAAATTTATCTATAAAAAATAAAACTGATTATGTGAAGACTGCTATTTGGTTGAAGAGTTTGCCGATTATAACTTATTGATGCAATTCTTATTATTATAGTCTAATAAATAAAATTTTGAAAAAATATTTTTTCTTCGCGAATTTTCTATACATATATAACATGTTTATGTTTCAATAAAATAGCATCCGAATAGAATGGTATGTTTTATCAGTTAGTACTGTGGTGGTGTAATGCAAGTCTACATAATTAAATGAAGAAGATGATCTTGCAAACAAGAAGAAAAGAAAAGCTGGATGAGTAGAATATGTTATTTCCACCCATCCTGGTGACTTCTTAGCTCTTTTTTTTCCTTTATTGCAAGATGGTCTTTCCTTATTTATTTATTCTGCTTCTGGGTGAATTATAATAACAAATTCATCCAGAGCCAATTTTGGTTTGTAGTTATTCACTAGAATATGGTTCAGTAAGTATCAAGAATGTCTCGAAAGTGTCCAATTATTTCAAGTAAATATTTTCGTCATAGACCTTATATTACATGGACTGGCATATGACATTTGATCAATCGAGAAATTCCGCGATTATCGTAGGCAATGTTTGCTCAGACATGTGACGTCACATACCATTCTATGTGTGAGCACTATATACAAGGGAAAACATACGAGGACTAGCAGTCTATGTAGTGTAATGTTCATGATGGAGACAGTAATGTTCATTCTTGTGTTATGTATTGTATTGTAGTTGTCCTTTTTACAATATAATTTAGTTATATCATGAATATTATCAGATCTACATACAGATTAATGAGGCAATTCTGCCGTAACAAAGCTCATAAAATAGCGTTGTCATGGAAATGCTTTCTTATGCTTATTCTTGGCATTGGCAATTATCAAAATATTTATATATTTGCGTATTTTACATATAAACATGCAAGGGATAATGTTACGATAACAGAATTCTAGATCGTGCAGTTATCATAACATTTTTCCTTGCTTGTTTGTATGTGAAATATGCCTGATCGCACGGCAAATAGATAAACATTTTCATAATTTTCAATTCCAACAACAAGCATAAGAGAGCGTTGTCATGACAACGCTATTTTATGAGCAATTATTTTCACCTTTATGAGCATGCAAATTTAAAAATATAATATTTATAACTAATACATATTTGTTTTGTTACAGGATATTCTGTTCAGTGTTTGTACTCCAAATGTAATAAAAAAGCGAAGCAATTTTTCTGTTTAAATTGCCACAAAGGATACGTCTACGAGCGCAGCCTGAAGCAACATATTAGATATGAATGTGGCAAAGAACCACAATTTGCTTGTTCACAGTGTCCTTATAAATCTCATGTTAAAGGAAATTTGAAAATGCATTGTTTAACTAAACATCCGAATTTTGACTACAGAAACTTCTAACTACGCAGCAGGAATATTTTCATTCTAGTTTCTGCGAACAAAACTTCAGCTTAAAATGCTTCAGTATTTTTTTTTTGCTTTTCTATGAATTATTTTTGAATTATGAATTATTATATATATTTACTTATATTAAAGTGTGTTACAGATAAAAAAAAGATTTATATTATTGCAAGCAATCCAGCACCATTAATTACTTACTTAAAGAGAACTTTCGATTTTTTTTTCGAAAAGTATACCACTTTTATAAAGTTCAGCATTGTAAAAAGTGTAATGAGTCACCACTTTATATTATAGCAATGAATTTTATGAATTATCAAATTTGTATCTTAATTTGTTATTATATATAATAATTATATTAGTTATATAAGAAGTGACTAGTTGTCGAAATTTTTTTAATACCTTGACTTTTAGTAGTTTAGAAAATTGTTTTTTTTTAAACTAGTCTTTTATACATAGTAGATAGACTATGCTAGTCAAGTTAAATTAATGAAACCAAATTTATTTTTATAACTTGTTTGTACTTTAAACTTATATAGATTTTATATATTTAAAATTTTAACAGCGTTTTAGAATTATTTTGCATTTATTGTATCATTTTTTATGTTATAACTTATATGAATTTTTATTAATGATAGTAGTAGGATAAGGATATTCTAAATCATTTTGCCAAAATTTTGAGTACGACAAAATAAATCATCAACAACACATCAAGACTTTTTTTAAACGCCTTTTTGTTTTTAATTCCAAGAAAGGTAGAAAGAAAGTAATAATGTATGAACATTAATCACAATCTGATGTTTTGGGAACTCAGGTGCAATTTTTTTTATTGAATGTCTCAATATATATCAAGATTACTTTGTTTTCACAGAATCCAGTTTTTAAAGCAAAACATCTTTAGACGCGACTATGGAGTAAATCTGTGAAAATGCAACGGAAGTTGCGTTACGCCCGAACTGCTCATTCGCTTCGATGAAATCATTTTTATACGCGTCGACTGTGATTAGTCGTATTGAATACTGACAATATTGTTCAATATTGTTCTGTATCATATTGTATTGTTTGTTTAACATCAGGTTTACAGAATGATAATTGGTGTATTTGGATATTGTTTTATATTGTTTGCATCTTGTATTCAAATTTGACAACACAATAACTGATTCATTTTTTTGCAGAATATTCTCATCACTACTTGTACACCAAATCCCCTAAAAAACAGAAGCAATTTTTCTGTTCAAATTGCCAAAAAGGATACACATACGAGCGTGGTTTGAGGCAACATATTAGATATGAATGCGGAAAAGAACCACAATTTGCTTGTCCAGAATGTCCTTACAAATGTCATATTAAAGGAAATATGAAAATGCACTGTTTAGCTAGACATCGAATAGAAATATATGACTACAGAAATTAGTAATATATTTTCCTTAAATAGAATATATATAGAAAAATGTAACTATGCAACAGAGATATAATTGCATCCTCGCCAGCGAAAAAGTAAAAAAAATACTATCAGTCAATGAATGTACGTTAATTTTAATTACATGAAGTTCTTCAAACACAATTCCATGATGATTGAAGTTGCGAAAACAATATTTGTTTAGACGTTGTTTAACATAATCCCCTATGTGAACGAATATTATAGAAGTTATTAATCAGCAAATACTTAATTTCTCTAATAAAGGTTCATTTCTAAATGCTAATTACAATGACAAACCGATCATGTAATATTTGAAGTATGACTTTAATTTCATTATTATTTTTAAATATTATACATATTTTTAATGCTGTTATAAATATATAATTTATAATTTATCATTATATAAATGTGTATAATGGTTCACACTAATAAATATGTGCAACAGGAGTGTTATGATGTATTCAATAACATGTGAACCTTACGCGCACTCTTTTTTTTATAATGTATTTTAATAATTTAAATATTTTGTACGAAATGCTATTATGGTATTTTTATAATTAATTAATGCTAGAATTAAATTGTACTTAAGTAATATGTTAGTAAATTTATATTAGGAATTATGACAAATTTTGTTATATTAGAACTTATATATATTAGGCTTTACAAAAATGTTATTTGGATGAACTATTTTATCTATTAGATTTACTTAAACATTATAGAGATAGGAAAAAATCTCTTAAACCATTTTGCTAAAACTTTGAGAACGAAAAAATAAAACATCTACAAGACATCAAGTCTTTTCTTTTAAAAGAGTAACACTCGAAAAGGGAGCGTTCATTCTTAGACCAAAAGAACTACAAACATATTATATTTTATAATATAGAATTATTAATAGTAGTATTTTTTTACTAATATAAATATGTTTAATTTCAGGTTATTTTGACTCGTCATCCTATCAAATTAGTCAAGAAAATAACGTCAACAGAAGTCAGAAAAGAACCAAAAAATTTTTCTGTCTCAAGTGCAAAAAGGGCTACACTTATTCACGTGGTTTGCAACAACACATAAAATACGAATGTGGCAAAGAACCGCTATTTTTTTGCGAAATGTGTCCTTACAGAAGCCACCAAAAGAGCAACTTAAAAACTCATATTTTGGTACTACATAAAATTAATCCAGGGACAAAAACTCATAAGATTTATCCAACATCTAGCTACGACTAGGAATACTAGTCTATGATGATGATCATATTGTGTGCCAAGGTTCCACAATTTTACCCCAATTTGGGAACTAATAACCTTTTGATAAAGTTTCAAAAATTTAGTCATATCCATTAAATTTTTTGACTTTGATAGATTCAGATAGATTGCGCAATTACAAAGATGTATCAATTTATATTAATTTTTTGATAATGCTGTATTTTATATTAAATACACTCTTCATTAATGAAAATACAAATTTAAACCCAAAGTCAAATGAATCAATAAAAAATAATTAATTCTTTTATTTGCCCTAAACCTAAATTATTTCCTGATTAGCTTCTAGTTTGCAAGGCATTAAAATATGTATGAAATATATTATAATTCCTCTGTAATTTTTCAAAATTGATTTTTTTCTAATTATCAAATCATCTAGATCTAGATTATGCCAATGTTTTTGAATATTTTAATTAATATGAATTAAACATCACTGTAATTCTTATATTTTTAAAAATATAGTTTCTATTTTTAACAAAGTATTAATCGTCTTTTAGTATACACATTTTCATAATAATTTTAAGGTAATGTTCTCAGACATAATGCAATTTCTCAAGACAATTAATAATTTCTTATAATTGTGATATATGTGAATCTTTACACACATAAAAAATATTTTGTATCACTGATCCATAATTTTAATAAAATTCATTACAAAGGTTAGTATTTTTATAATTATTTATGTAACTATTGGTCAAATGTTGTTTTTTTATTTTTTTACAATATCAATTGTAATAAAATTAATTATTAAATTTTACAAAAATAATTTTTTCATGATAATGGTTCCTAATACATATGCCTTATAACTTTACTAACATCCTTTTATTATTTTCCAGGTACATTCATCAATTTTAAGAATCAAGAAAGAATGCCTGAAAATTGTGGTCAATTTTATACTTATTCTCCTCATCAAATAAGTCAAAGTATTTTTCCTTGTCCAAGATGTCCAAAAATTTATAAAACAAAAGAATCACTATACATGCATAGAAAATTCGAGTGCGGGAAGGAGCCACAATTTAAATGTCCTTTTTGCCCACATAAAACCCACTTAAAGGGCAATATGAAAAAGCATTGCAGGTCGAAACACGGGGTTGAGGACTTAAATAATTTGTCAAGTTTTCATCACCCTGTGCAGGATAATTATAAATTTACACATCTTATATAGATGAATATGTGAATATAATGTGCAATTTATGTAATTGTTTAATAATTGCAGGAGTAACTATAGATTTAATAAGTATAATCATATACATAGGTACATGTATATATATATATATATATATATATATATATATATATATACATATGAATTTATATTTATATTATACCAATATATTAAGAATATATTCAGTATTTATTTACATGGCATCACATATCTATAATATTTATTTTTTGTATTTGAGTTTTGACTTTAATAAAATTTTAATTTTTAAGAAGGACCATTTATTTATAACCCTATATATATATATATATATATATATATATATAGCCAAACAATAAATAAATCCCAAAAATTAATATAAAACAGTTGTTTAATCTCGACGTTTCGGAACCGTACATGTTCCGTCATCAAGCTTTGTTCTGTCAATTTTTCTATATAAAACAATATTATTTGATAATTGATGAAATAAAGTTGAAAAACTTGAAAGAATAGATCATGCACCTAATAATCAAATTTATAAAGCCTGATGATGACGGAACAAATCTAATTCCGAAACGTCGAGATTTAACAGTTGTTTATCTTAATATTTGGAATTTACTGTTTGGAAATACATATTTTACCCATATATTTGTTGAGTAAATTATTTTTTATTTAGAAAGCTAATGTAATTATCATTCTAAGTAGTGCAATAAAAAGACATTTTTTTTAATAAAATCTCTGAATAAAATATGAAATGATTTTTTGATAAAACATCACTATTATATTTGATAAAATATTGCTATTGTGTTATCTATTATTTAGGTGATGGATAGTATTACTAATCTCATTTGTTTTGCATGTTGTAGGTATTAATAATAAAATTTAGGCTGCAGGAAAGGTATAATCGATAAATCTTGTTTTTTTTTTTGGTATTTCGTTACAATTAGTAAGAATTCATCAAGACTTGTCTTTATCTGAAACATTATTTGTTGATCATCCTTGTTTCATTCATTTTCTGACAAATATATGAAATACATAAGATAATTTTAATTTATTAAAATTAATCAAATTTAATTAAATTAAAATTAAATGGACTAAATTTATATTTTACTAAAATTTACACTACACATAAAATTAGATAAAATATTTATGTGTATTTAAAGCATTTTATTTTTAAAGCATTTCTAAATATTATGAGGCCAATTTTTGAATAAAATATAAATATCATGTTACGGGTCTATAATCGTATGAATTGGTAGTCACAAACTGACAAAAATCTATATATTTGCTTTTTGCTTGGTTTCACATGTAAAATCTAACCTCCAAAAGGCACAAACTTCATAATAGTACTAACTTTGGTTAGATTTAACGCGTGTGTTATCAAAGTAACACAGAAAATTGAACTTTTGAGGAAATTATTTTTTGACATTTGGAGGTTAGATTTTATGTGTGAAACGCCCATTTGCACAGCAAACACATAGCTTTTTGACTGTTTGTAAATATCATCTCATAGGATTATAGACCCGTAATATAACATTTCTGTTTTATTTGAAATCCGGCCTGTTAATATTTAGAAATACTTTGAAAAAACAGACTAATTTTATATAAGGCGCCAGTGTAAATTTTAGTAAAATATAATTTGTCTTGTTAATCAATTTAATTTGATTATAATGCTGTAACATAACATTTCTATTTTATCCGAAAATTAGTGTCTGACGTATTGAAATTTTAATTTAGCGGAAATTATTTCCTGGTCATTTGTAGTTCTTTTTATTTTAATTTATTTTTGTTAATCAAGACTTTAATGTCTTATTTACAAAATTGATAGGAGCAAAAAAAAATACAAAAAAATACAATAAATTGAATATAAAATAAAAAAAAGTTTAAATTGTTGAAATAACAAAATATCTGATTTTATACTAATTATCCAACAAATAGAGAATCCCAATAGCATCAAAATGTGTAAATATTATATTAAATAATATTACTAATGATATATTGACATGTATATATTTATTAAAATACAAGTAGGTGTTGGTACTATAGAATTCTAAAAAAAATCATTCAAAATCATTCACGCTCATCATATTTTTTTCTCTTTTTCTGTTTTACTAATTTTTTTTTTCTATTTTTCAGATTTGCGGTACAAAGCCTACGTCAAACAGTACCTGAAGCGTCTTCACACGTCCATCGTCAGCGACGGCGGCGACAGGTCGATTCTTCGCGCTTTTGCAGCAAATTCCAACAAGAACTCCGGAGGCGCCAATAATGAGAACAGCGAAAAGTTTCGCTGCCCAAATTGTCCTACCAGAGCCTACAAGCACCGAGGCAGCCTGCGATTCCATCTTAAGTACGAATGCGGTAAAGAACCTCAATTTGGTTGTTTGAGGTGCAATTACAGAAGTCACCGGATGGCCAATTTGAGGACTCACATGAAACACTGCCTGGATTGATTCTGAAGGGCGAGAAATATATGGTTGTATTTTAATTAGGAAATTTTTTATTTCATGGATTAATTGATTTATTTTTTGATAATGCTGGTAAAATCGTCTCAACTGTCAAACTTTTTTTTTATTTATTTTTTATAACCAATCTGAACCTTTGGTTCAATGAGTTGGCGTTTAGAAATTCCCTCGATTTTGCGGCCACTTTCTTTTCAGTCTTCTGAAGAGATCTTTCAATCGAGTGAAAATGCGTACTCTGAATCGTATGTAATAAAGAAGCTACGGACTTCTTGTAACATTTTTTTTGAGATTATTATATTTCTACGAAATAAAAAATGGATAGATGCTGTAACTGTTATTCTATAGAATCATGTAAAAATAATTTTATAACTACTAGCAAATGTTCGTTGTTACAACTTATCATCGTGGCTAGTTGTTGCATCTATCGTGGAAAGTTGTAACGACAAAAAACCACAACTAGTGGTTTCCATACAACCATACAAAAAATTATTTTTTTAAAAAACTTTCAAAATTTTTTTAAAAATGCAAAAATTTGGTTTTTGAAAATTTTGAAATTTTTGATAGAATTTTGACTTTTGACTTTTGATTTTTGAAAAAAATAGATTTTTTTTATATATATGAATTATTTTAGAGCCATAATGTTCAGAAAATTGAAACATAAAGATATATAAAAATTTTCATTTCAAATTTTTTTGCGATTACTATTTACTATAATTTACCCTACGGGAAGTTGATAACATGTCTGATAAGTTATTCTTTGTATATTTTAGAGAAAATTAACATGTTTCTGAAATAAATGATTTTTCTCATAAATCAACGTAACCTACAATTATTACTTTGTTTCCTTCAATCTGTATAGAGTAGACTTTACTACATACAAGACAATATTATTTTTGCATATTACAACTAGATCCAAAATATTGTTTCAACTAACCCGATTTGATTAATATACTTGTATAGAAAATCAAATAATAGAATGAAAATTTATGCCAATTTTTTAAATTAATCAAGTTAACTATTTAAACAATTTCGTAATCATAAAAATCGTTACACATAATCAAAGATTGATAAAACGAGATGAATAAAATTTAAAATTAGTCGATAATAATAACGTAAATCGAAATTTAATTATAGATTACCTGTCAAAAATGACGTACCTGCACAATTCTGTTTACTTTGTCAGTTTGCGAGAAATTGGCTATATATAAACCCAAATTATGAAAGACAGTGCACATATTCAATCGAAACAAAAAAAATTGATATCGCTTAAGATTCTATTGAAAAACGCCTGTTACTACTTATACTCCTATTACAATGAGCCCCTAGCTTCCCTACATATTTTTTTCTTTGCTTTGCCAATATGTGAAATATAGAAAATAATTATCATCATGATAAAAATTGTGCTAAAATATGCCTGTACAGGCATTCTTAACTTTATAGAATCCTAAAGAAATATATAATTCTAAAAACACTTTCAAGATGCAGTTCCTTTTGATTTTTTTTTTTTTTTTGAAAATCGCATGTATCAACTTGTTTCAGCGAAAGATTTATTGGCTTTTCTTCAAAAGTTGCTATTTTTAGTTTTTTTAATATATAATTATTTTATAAATAATTAAATTTTATAAGTGAAAGCTTTATTTCTTATTACATCATTTTTTTTGAAAATCGCATATATCAACTTGTTTCAGTAAAAGTTTTTTTTGCTCTTTTTCAGAAATTGTTATTTTTAGTTTTTTTTTTCAATATATTAAAGAAATTATTATTTTATAAATAATTAAATTTTTAAGGAAAATAATAACTGAGAATCAACTTAATTTATAATAAATATATTTATATATTTTACACCTAATATTCATATTTCAACTTTTTGAAAATAGCATATATTATATTGTTGCAGTATCAATTTTATTTGCTTTTATCAAAAGAATGGTATTTTATCTTAGTCTTGATATTATGAAATAACTTATATTTTAACTTAAAACGTAATTAGAAAGAATACTTAATAAATTTTTGAATGTACTTAGTTATTTACTTACAATTAGAAGTGCTCTATAATTTTTCTCATTTGTTCCTCACACTCCTCATATTTTAACATATGTTTATATATTTATTATCTTTTTAAATAATAACAATATTACAAATAATTATAAATTTTTTATAGAATGCAATAATTGACGTCATTCGGATTTTTGTTTTTCATACACAATTTTTATAACTCATACTGTATAACCTACATAAATTTTATAAACCTCCATCAAAATCCATATTATTGTATCCTGAAAAATATTCTGTTAGTATCATGAATTACGTTTAATATAAATTTTTAAGTTAAAATAAAAAACTAATGTATATATGTAATCATGTTATTTTTTATATACCAATGCATTCCAATGTGGCACACTGCCAAAAATATATATATACATTCCATTAATTGTTATTAAATGTTTGCAATATTTTTATATAAATTAAAATTTATAATTTTACTTTCTGAACTACCTCTTTGCAAGCTAAGATTTATTTATTCGTTTAACATTAATTAAACAATTAGTTTTATAATATTAGATATAAGAAGTAATGAATGTGCTACAAATTAATTAGATTTAACAATTTTTTGGTTGTTGGGTTTTTTTATTATCAAAATATATTTTAAGGTTTTTATGTATTTTATTATTAATATTGTTAAAAGTGATGTTATCACAATTAGTATAATTTTAATATGTTTCACTTTACGACTGATTTTTTACTTATTTTATATACTATGATAAATACAATTGTATATAAATATGGTAAACGTACTTTATAGACATAATAATAGAAAATATAGCTAAAGAAAATACCTCATGATAAAATGACTTACGCTTCCCTCTCCAATCAAAGACACTAACAGTATTCTGAACTGATTCCAAAATAAATTTAAGATTAGGTTAAGAAGGTTATAAAGAAATTAGTTAGTTTAGATTAGAGTATTATATATAACTGTAACTGGATATACGTATTGCAAAGTGAAATGTTAAATAAATAATTTGGGACATATTAGTTCTTTGACAGATATTGGAAAATAACTTTATTTTTCAGGGTAGACAAGAACAATGCTACGTAGTCAGGTATTATTGGGATGTTGGAAAATAATTGTTGAATTTTTCTGAAAATGTTAAAAAATGCTTTTATGGGAGTACCAAGTGTAAAGAAAAACAGATTTTTACCTGAAGCAACAGTAAAGCTATTTAAGGATACCATTGATCATTGAACAACTTCTGTACACTATTGGCTGAAATACAGTGGTCATGAAATTATGTTCTCCTGAGAAGAGGTCGGTCCATTAAACTTTATACTAACATATTTTTTCTAATTTCAGGTATGCCAAGTTCTGTAAAGACAAGACCAAGTCGAATCTTCAGAAGCTACTACGTAACGTAAGAATAGTTCATGCATGAGTACTTAGCAATTTACCTAAAAGCCAACATCCGACTAGGTTACTTCTATCGTAGCTATCTTGAACAAATTCAAAAGTTAAAGCCCATCAAATATGAAAATATTTGTAGGGCTTTAACTTAATCGAACTCAAATTAATATGTTTTTCTCTTCCAGATTTGCTGAATTCTTTTCAGCAGCATTACCTTCAAGCACTGCTTCGTGCTAATACTAGTATTACCAGACAAAGGCTTAGTAGCATCTCCGATGGGTCTCAGAAGGTCTACAGGTGCCCAAATTGTCCAACCCGCACTTACAAACATCGATGTAGTTTAAGACTCCATCTCCAGTACGAATGCGGCAAAGAACCGCAATTTGCTTGCAGCAGATGTTCTTATAAATCTCACCAAAAAGGAAATCTCTTATCGCATATGCAATTGTGTAAGGTGTCCGAGTCGCGATTTGCGTGCCAGTATTGCGAACATCGTACTTATTATAACCATTCCATGGTCAAACATGTTTTTTCCGCACATGGAGTAACTTTAGATAAGCATGAGGTTATAAGAAATGTTGTTGATAAGCCGCCAGATTCGATGTAAAAGATAAAGGCGCATGTCTTGAGTTGATGGAGGTTATGCTAAATATGATAGTCTATTAAAAGTAGCAACATTGAACGATTTCACAACATATCATTTCCAAGAAGAAAATTCTGCAAATAAAGTAGCTGGTCATTGTATGGTACAAACCAAGGACTTTAACATGTTCAACAAAATCAGGAGACACGTTGAACCTTATGCCAATATCGTTTTATGATGGCGAAGTAGATCAAATCTACGAATAATATGACAGCATAATGTTGGCATATACATTTACACTAGAGATGGGATTATCATATCCGAAGCCGGATCGGTTAGATTTTTACTCTACTTCAGGGAGGAGTTATATCCGCTTAACAACTCCACGACCACGACAACTTTGAAACCGAAATACTCGACACAAATGTGTTCTATTTGATATCACTGGTAAATTTTGCACTCTAAAGTTTTGTTATTTCAGTCTATGGAAAAACCAGATTAAATGTATTTCGTTTCGTGAATTTTTCGGTATGTATATTCTTGATTGCCGTCATTCAAGGCTACAGATTGTCGTAGTTAGAAATATGACCCCTTACTTCAATAAATTATACATTTGAGCTATCCACACTTTCATTGTTCTGTATCTTTGAAGTAATATTTTTGTATTTTCTGGAAAATGCACAATAGAATTATTTTGACTCGTATACCTAGAAGGTCATAAAACTGCCTGTGAGACGAGAAAGCGATCGCTTCCTTCCCAAAGCAAAAACGCAGTAAATGTGTGCACGAGTTAACAGATTTAATACCAGTTTTGGAAAGTCGGATATGACAAAATCTCCGACACAACTCCGCTCGGATTCACTCCGAGGGAGGAGTTGTATCGGAGTGACAACTCCGGAGTCAGTTACCCATCTCTAATCTACACCCAACTACACCCAACTTCTTATTGTTTTGTTCCTTACAGTGACCAGCTTCTTTATTTGCAGAATTTTCTTGTGATAATGACACGTTGTGAAATCGTTCAGAGTGATTTTTGCCATCATACATACATCAGTCTCTTGATGTCCACCTTACATTTGACCTTTTTACTTTTGACGTGCTCTATTGTTGCTTCCATCTTAATTGTCCTCACATTCACCATTGCTAAATTTCAAGGCAAATTCGACGCAGATTTGTTGTTTCTGTCGATGTAATACATCAGTCTTTTGATGTCCACCTTACATTTGACCTTTTTACTTTTGAGGTCAACACATTCAACATTGCTAAACTTGAAGGAAAATTGGACGCGGATGTGTTTTTTCTGTCGATGTAATTGCTTATAAGCAATCGTTATTATTAGTAATAATAATCTACTCAAATTCAATATCTCACTAATCTACAGGAACAACAAATCTGCGACCAATTCAAACTATAGTTATTTAGGCAAAGTTTCTTGAAATCACTTATAGATCTATAATCGTAATATGCCCCAGTGAAATTTTTGGCTTCATACAAGTTGACCCGGAAGGCTCAGCATAAATAATTACTCCGGAAAACTCAGCCAAAATCATATATCGTTTGTTAATGAAACTATTCCAAATAATAGTATAATCTTTACTGGTATACAAAAGCTAATTAATTAATAGATTCTACAGTATTTTTATATAAAATCATATATACCATGACAGTTAAAAATTATTATTTACTGCATAAACAATACCTCAAATAATAAATATATCGATATGGTGACAATTATGAATATATATATATTTAATATAAGCACTTAGTATTAAAGACAAACTCGATCTTCTAATAATATTGATTAAATGTAGAATTGCAACTTCTAGTATTTTCATCAAATCAAATAAGTTTGATGATCAATCAAAGATACTCATTTATGATCTCTTAACATATTTAGACAAAATTGTTTAGAATTTAGCTTTAACTACTATTTAGTATTATTTTCTAAATTTTTATACATGACGAATATATACAAAAAATTAAGTCTGCTCTAATATTAAATGTCGTACTAGCTTTATGTGTTAAAACGTTATTATATAGATTTGCTTTTTTAGGAGTAGATTAGTAAGTAAGAAATATACGTTTTAGAGTAGTGAATTAAAAATCGAAATCATAGAGAACAAAATTTCCGGGCGTTATTTAACTTTTGTTAATAGAATAAGAGTGACAGTAGTAATAATGTAATATTGAACGTAGTAGATGTTCGAACTTTGGGATTGATATTTTCTACATTTGAGAAAAAAATAGGGAAATAAACTTAGAGAATATATCGACTAAAATATGTGAAAAAAATATTATGATACTTAAATTCTTTTAAAAATTCTTTAAACTCTAATGGAAAATAATGCTCTGAAATCTTGTTCTGCCATTTAGATATCGCTTGTAGATATAGTACTTCCAGAATTATTTTATTTTCTCATTATGTAGTAACGCTGAATAATTTTTAATTTTGATTTTAAAACTTAACCATAGAAAAAGTAAATAATAGATACTCTAGCTTGTTTTGAGATTTCTATTAAGTTTATAAAACAATAGCCAATAAACCTAATACTCATACGTAAAATATACAAAGATGATATATTTATATCAAAAATTACAAACAAGAAATGATACTCATATTTTATTATTAAGTTGAATATTAATCATATGTCTACAAATAAGTCATTATTTTATGCCATGTTTGCAAAACCCGAATAGATGATCAATTCGAAAATTCGAAATATCAAAACAATTCGAAAATTTTTGGACATCTTTTGTAATTTTACCAAAAAACGTTTTTTATTGTCAAAAAATGTAAAAATTGTATGATTCGAGTTTATGATCATTTTTTGGGTTTTGTGACCCATTAGCCTGCTATGATAATAGATAGTGCAAATAGTTTCTATATATTACAATAACGATTTATCATTGTGATAAAATCAATCAGTAACTTTAAATTGAGCTGCCTTTTTACAGAATACATAACAGTATACAGTAATACAATAAATTTAAAACAATTATGCAATATTTATCAGATACTAGTTATATATACAAAATACATACATATAAGTTTATTTATGTTTATTAAAATTTAAGTTTTATTTTTGCAATAGTAAGTCGTACTCTTGAACTTTTTATATAGTTTTCAATAGATAATAAGAAAGATAAAATTGTTTTTTTTTAATTACGTACTACATTTGTTATTAATAAAAAAAAATTATTCGCAAATTCAAATAGTATATCTAGATCTGAATAAATCTGACTCTAAAATTTAGTTTTTCATAGTCAAAAACTGCATACAAAATACTTGTAGATCATTTGCACTGAAGAAGAAATTTCGTTTGAAAACAAATTGATTTGATTTAAATTAGATCTAGATATATATATTGTCAATCAAAAATGTTCCAGAAAAATAGACTTGATCAAAAGACATAATTTAATTATAATTTTTCCACAAAGACAAATTAAAATGTTTTTTACAAACTCAAGCTTTACTTGCACTTTCTCTATAAAACATATTAATATGAAATAAACAAATATAAGATTATATAAAAATAAGCAAATATAAAAATAAGTATTAATTTAAGGAAATTATAAATATGAATTTTTTTCAAGAAATTTAATTTCAATTCGAATATTATTTTAATTAAGTACAAAAATGCAATGTATATGGTTAGTATATTAGTATAGCACAGAATATGAACTATACAGAAATTGGATTTATGAAGTTCAGTCGATAATTAATTTTCCTGATTTGTTTATATTTACTTTGTAATGAAATAAGATACTAATTGAAGCAAAGTTATGGAATTAATGTAAATAATTTTCCAAGTTTTGGAAATTCATATTATACTGGGCAAAATTGCCCTCGCAATTCAAAAGTGCAATATAAAAATTGCACTTATTTATAAATTCTTTTTTTTCGAAATTTACTTACTTTATAATTGTACAAAATATTGGAAAATTATTGCCATATTAAGAAATGTTTCTTTCTTGCCAAGCATATAATTATTATATTATCAGTATTATGATTTCATGTATACGATTTATTTTTAAATGAGTTATTAATAAGTTGTAGCTTTATATATTATATAATAAATAATTATACAATTGAAGGTTTTTTGTATTAAATTAATTTATTTTTTGCATATACTTTTATGTATATTTATATAGGTAAGTGTATTGTTATATGAAAATATCTAGAATATCTAGTCAATAGCTTTGATTTCTATGGCAAATATAGTTTGATTATTTACAAAAATTAAGGAATCAGAAATTATTAAAGGAAACTATACAAGGTAAGTACTACTTTCAAACATATTTCAAATAAATATTAATTATTAAACATATTTTTTAACGTTTTACTAACATTTGTTTTGTCTTCCAGGTGTATATGAATGGAGTAAAGTTTCATTTATTTGGAGTATTCAAGACCATCTTACAATTATATAAACTATAGAGAAAAATAAATTGTTATATATAATGGAACAAGGAAAATCAAGATTCATACAAAAATTCTGAATTTCACCATTCAAAAAAGCTCAGAAATAAAATCATCTAAAAGTCAGGAGTCATATAACCAGAAGAAAAATAATTAATATATCAGGCATTGAATGAGCAGATTCTTAGTTAGCACTTTTATTTGCATAATAATATATTTATATTCAAAAAAGTTTATTTTATGAACATATATATGCATATATTATAGCTTATTTTAAAGTGATTATTATTATATGATTTATATTCCGCTAACAATTAAAAAAATTAGAAATTACAATTATAAAATATTATATCTATTTTAGTCGAAATGTTTTTAAAAATTTTAAAATAAATTCTTTTATAAAAATATTCAGTTATATAAAAGAGAACATATTTATAGTCATGTATATTTTATTTTTATTTGATTGATTTTACTCATTATTAAAAAAAATGTGGTAAGCTATGATCGTAATTTTGTCTAATTTCATTAATCATAGCGTTAAATGTTAATAAGAATTAAACAAAGATCATTTTACTTTATACATGTATACTATACTTTATACGTATATACTTGCACCGAATTATTCACTAATTATTATTAGTATCAATAAAGAGATTATTTCCTGAACAATTGTGTTTAAATAGATCTAATAAATCCGAAATAATTTTATGAAGAGTAGAATTATAAGATAATAACTATGTATTGTACCTGGAGAAGATTCTAGCAAGCTGCTTTTTCCAATAGTTTTCACAAATGTAAGTTTGATAAATAAAATCACCATTATATTATGAATATTATTTATTTTATGATATATATTTATATATAATATACATTAGCTAAATTGATTATATTTTTAAGGTACTTTGGAAAAAATCAAACAAATCAGGACCATACACTCTAATATCTAAGGCTATATAATCCACTCTAATTGTAAGATCTAGAGCAGGAGTTGTCAACCTTCCAGCTGTGGTGTGCCAATCCACTCTACTATGTCCTACTACCATTACTACCACTCTAATATGATTCAGGGTGCCGCCTAAATTCTAAATTATATAATGGGGTTCTAGAGGAGAAGAATTTTATTCCTAATTTAATTTTCAAACATATTTATTCAAATATATACTATAAAATTCTAACACAAAAAAATTTTTTTTTAATGCAAACCTTGGCCTTGTACATTTTTGCCTAATATTTCAATATCAGGAGTATAACTTTGTTACTTAATTTCACGCAAGATTCTAAACCATTTAGAAAAAATAGGTAGCCGACGCCTGATCTAGAGGATATAATGGACTCTATAAATCTGACGATTACTCAAAAATATAGTGTCAATAAATTTTCAGTACTTTTCTTCAATATGTATTAAAATAGTATTAAATCTTACTTAGTTTTTAAGTGTTATTTTAATTATTAAACTTTTTTAATATATGCATACTTTTTTTTTTTTAATTTTACATATATCAATAGACAATCAGAATATAAATTTATTATTCTGAATTATAAGCTATTTGTACTTAAATTTATGTACAAAGTCAATAAATTAATTAAAGTCTTTAATAATGTATATTTTCTATCTTGTGATTAGCACTGCAAACTCCTCTGCACTACATTTATATCATTTATATTCTGGAATCCAAGCATTTTCAAGTATAGTATTTCAATTAACATCAAGTTAAAAATAATTTTAATATTTTGCCTTTTTTCAGGTCTCCCATCAACTTTTGGCAAAAATATGCAGCAATACCAACGCCAATTATTCCCTAGAGAAAGGAATCAAATGGACCCACACCGGGTACCATGTCCACAATGCCCTCGCACGTACAAAACAAAATTAGCCCTAACCGCCCATTTGAAATATGAGTGTGGCAAGGAACCCCAATTCAGATGCCCTTATTGTTCCCATCGAACACACCACAAGGGACAACTACAAGTACACATTAAACGAAAGCATAAAGATATTTTGCAAGTCATGCCAAATCTACCAGTTACTTATCCGCTACCTCAAAACAACCTCAACCTTAACCCAGCAGCTGGAAGCCAAATACTCGATGTGGAGAAATTTAAGGCGCTTCAATTGTTCCAAAGTTTAGCAGCAGAAATGCTGCCAGCTTCAAATTTATCTGAAGAAGCCAAAAGTAATAGTTCGACGAGCAGTAGTCACTATGCAACGGAACAAGCAGATCCTAGTTTACAAAAATATCCAGATGTTTCGACTTCTGGACGAAATTTTTCTCAAGAACCTTCTGGATTTAGTAATAATATACAAAAAAAATTTAATTGGCCCTAAAATGGATCAAAATGATAGATGCATATTAATTATTTATATATTGTAAATGTGAAACAAATTAGAAAGTAGTAACATATATATTTATAAAACTATACATGTAACTAACTAAGTTTTGAGGTCGGTGTGCACGACGTCAGTATTTCTTGTAACATATATTCTGTCAAGCTTTTATCGTAAAGTGAGCGTATCTGAACGTGAAATATGACTCAAGCATCTTATTATTTTATTACTATTATTATTATTTTATTTAATTCTTATAAATATGAAAAAACACAATCACATAAATTTATCCTAATACATATATGATTTATGTTTAAATTCCAATAAAATATTTTGTATTGTACACGCTCACCTTACGATAAAAACATGACAGAAAATATGTTACCAGAAATTATGGCATCGTGCGCACCGGGCTCTAGTATACTAAATTATAGTCAATAAAATGAATTTTATTTTTAATTACTAAGACAGCTAAAACATATGATTGTTCTAATAATATTATCATAGTTAACATTAATATTAAATATATATTTTTCCTAATAGTGTTGGCAAACAATCATATAGGTTTCACGTATTGATTGATTAAGATATAGTTGCAAAAGGAAACTTTGGGTCTATTATTTTTAACTCGAATAGTTTTTCTCAAATATAAGTTTAAGGGATCGGAGAAAACTGTTTTATAGTAAATTATTTACAAGTATTTTAATTGATTATGTTAATATAGTCGCTAATATTTTGAGTGCCTATTGAAACAAACCTCATATTATCTACCGCAAATCTATGATACCAAACAATAATATTAATTTTAAGATATATATAATAATTAATGCAATTTTTATGTGTATTCACATTTTTTCTAAATAATGAACCTATATACTTTTAATACATTCGATTTATTTATTGAAATAGAAAACTCGTACCATGCTTTTAATTATATGTACAAATTTATTAAGATAACATATTTGTAATTAGTTAGTATGTTATTAGAAAATCTACAAACTATTGTATTTAAAAATTCTTTTAACTTATATTATTTTATAATAACAAAATCTGAACCAGTGAGACTCCTAGAATTAATTTCTAATTTAATGTATATGTTATTAAAATTAATTTTTATTGAACATTTTAATAGAGGTGGTAGTTTTGCAACTAATATTAAGAAAATGCAGCTAATAATATATTAAGGTGGTAATTTTTATTTCTATTGAAGGTTTTTACACTGTTAGTAAATAAAATCAATATTCTAAGAAAAAGAAACAAAGTCAGTAGAGATATTAGAAGAAAGCTGGCGAGAATGAATATTTTTTAACCCTTTCCACTCGGATGTCTCCGCTCTGGCTACAGAATACATAATAATCTCGCAATTTGAGAGTGGAAAGTGTTAAATTTGGATTAATTATTGCAGTATCTTTTTGCTTAAATTCTAAATTATTTTGTATATAAATCAATGTACAATTTTATGAGAAAACTTATAAATTATGATAATGTTTAAGAAATAAGCAGCTCGATATAGCAAATTTTATTTAGAAACCGCACATCGTACCTACATATGGCAAAAAAAATCTATATTTCTAACTCACAGTTGAAATCGAGAAACTTTTTTATATTTTAGTACTTGGAATTGTTTCTGAGATTTTTTTTAAAATAACTGTGCCGTTTTGTCTTTATTTCCTGGACTATATTTTTACATGATATATAGAGAAATGCTACTTTTATTGGATTAGATTTTAAATGTTATAGATTTTGATATAATAATGAGTGCAATTACTTACATCTAATAAGTGTAGTATACAAATAATTTTAACTAATTTAGGTATTTATCTAATTTTAAGATCGTTGTGTGTATATAATTTTAAATAAAAATTATGTCAATATTAGAGGTTTTTTATTTATATATATATTAGATTGTTTCAGAGAAAACGAAAGTTGACCTACTTTTACATTTAATGTATCCAAAAAAAGTTATACATTTGTATATAATACTACTATTTATTAATATAAAGTTATATAGTAACATTTTTAAATAAAATCTATAATCATATCACAAAATTAATTCTATTATGCTAATATAATTTTAGGCTGTATTTTAATAAGATTTAAATCATTTTTATAGTAGTTTTATTGCTTAAAGTATTTATACTGTAATTAGTCATTTTTAAGAATCAAAAAATCTCTGGTGTTGGACTACTCATACAATATTTTCATCATTTCATTATCACAATTATTTTTCTAATACATTTGATTTATTTTTTAGGTGGCGAAATATCCTGGTTTTCGTCATCCAGTTCTCCATGGCAAATTCAAGAAGTTTACTCACCTGGTTTAGGAGCAGATGTGGACGGCGGACCTTTCCCTTGCCAGCAATGCCATCGAGTTTATAAGTATAAGAGAAATCTAACTTCTCATCAAAGACTATCCTGCGGCAAAGAGCGGCAATTTCTTTGTTTAACTTGCGGCAAACGTTTTGCTCAAAAAGTGCACTTAAGAACACATCATAGGTCGTGTGATAGAAAGAATAGTTCGGGTTTAAAAGAGTGAAAACCGTAATAATTTAATTGGATATATATAGTTTGAATAACGGTTTTATACATTTTTAGTGTGTCTTATACTTGTTATTTATACTTAATAATTTTACAATACATTTTACAAATTATTTATATTATTATATGATTTTATTTTTCTGAACTAAAAAGCCTCAAAAAATAGTTTACTTAATTTTTCATTTATAACTGTTTTCCACGCTTCGGGGATATGGGATGTTTTCTTCTTCAGAAACTATTAAAAACATACATTTTTTAATTTTTTCATACACTTTTTTAGTTATTTTAAAATTGATAAAATTTACTTTTACTATTGGAACGATTTTTGTTTAATTATAAACACTCACTAGAATTCAAATTGTATGCAGGTATTTGTATAAAAAATATACTAGGTAGAGCTACAGACGTTTACTGTTTTCAGTATGTATCAAGACTAAATATTATTAATTCTCTTCTGAATTTAATTATGAAAATTGAATTCATTATTTTAGTCTTTATATGTACTTTATTCACTATATATAGTACAAAAAGCTCAATGAACTTTTAATTATAATTTTTAATGTATGTACAATTAAATTTCTAGTGATTATTTATTTAAAGAAACTTGTTTCAAAGATAAAGAGTAAATTATCTCAATTTTCAATTAATTAAGAAGTAGTTTCAGTTTCCAATTAATTACAAAAATTGAACGTACTCATAAAAACATATATTCTTTGGTAAGCAGTTCCTGAAGAAGGAATTAACCCAATTTAGAGGCGTAGTTAATTTTTTTAAATTTATTTATAAAATATGATAATAGATTATTTTTACTGTTGAAAATATAACTTACGTAACTTATACTGCATACATGCGTTTAAATAGATATATATCATTTGTATATTAAAAATATATTTTTTTATATACATGTATATTAGGGTGGTCCTTAACAAGGACATTTTCGAATTTCTTTGCTCCCAAGAGCACAAATGCTTTCAAATGAATAAAAAATGAATCTCTAATAGTATTAGCTCTTAATATAAACATTTCGATAGAGCGCACGCCAATTGAAAGTTTCTTATATTTGTTATTAACACACGTCATTAAGTAAATTCATATTGAGTTAAATTTATATTGAGGAAAAACTAAAAAGTATTTGTGCCTAGTTTTAACTTGAAATTTATTTGAATTGGCAGATTTTATATTTATTATTCACTTTAGATAAATTTAGATTTTGCTGTAATTATGTGCTAATGCAATTAAATTGATATTGATTGATATTTAAATTCATTCTCATATATGTAAAATATCTCATCAGAATTCTTGTTGTTTTGAATTCTATATTATTAGTTAATAGTTTTTAAAATTAAATCTCATAATACCAGTTGTTAATCAATTATGTTGTTAGTTAAAGTAATTTGTTCTATTGTTAAGAAATCAAAACATTATTTGTTTAATGTTAATAATTTAAATATTTATATGTACAAAATATATCAATCTTTGGCGTATTAGTATTAATTTTAATATTATTTATCATACAATGAAAAGTTGTAAAAATAAGAGCTGTATAAATATTTTAATTTAGTTCAAAATGTTAAAATTAATTTTTAATGATATAAAGTTGAGCAAATTGTTTCAAACGAATTATATATTAGTTAATTGATAAAATTGTTCAAATTATTTTTAAATAAGTTATATATTAGATTATCAATAAAATTGTTCAAATTCTTTTAAATTAGTTATATATCAGAATAATTAGTGTTATGTATTATATATTGTACATATTATATTAAAGTGCACTTTTGTAAAACATGTTTCTACATTATAGGGGAGACTGGGTACGGTTGATTAGCAATAATTTTGTTAATTTACCAGTTAGCTGTGAGAAAAGTAAATTAAATAATGACTTGAACCCTTGTCTTCCTTTGGGCCCTATTTCAAAATTAGTATAGTTTAACTGTTATAGCGACTGTCACTACCGACCCCTGACACAATCTCCTCTACTATATAATAAAATTGCAAAGTTTAATTAATATACTTTTTTAACAAAATAAAATGTTATTTATGTAATAAACACCTTATTGATTATTCTTTGTTTGATCAATAAAAACTTTTGCTGTGGTGATTTTTTAATAACCATTTTTTTTTAATTTCAGGTTATTTCAAGCGTTTTCCATGCCTAATGTGTGGTAGATCATATACAGAACAGCACAACTTACGAAAACATTTACGATTATCTTGTGGAAAAAACAAGCAATTTAAATGTTTTTATTGTGATAAAATGTATTACTGGAAAAAGGATTTAAAAAACCATTTGCAGAGATACCATGAGGTGGCAGATGTCGAAGTGGATTCATTTAAAACATTACACAACATTAATGACTTCATATGATCTGGAAATCATTAATTTTAGTTATTCAAAAATTTATGCAAAATTGTCATCAATTGGGAAATTCAATCAGATTAGAATTTAAAGTTTGTGCCATTTGTGACCCATATATATGACAAAATTTTAGAAACTATAAGTTATGTATATATTTCTCATAAGGATATAAATTATTATAAAATATTTGTATATAGATGTATATATGTATATATATTAGATAGTGGTTTCAGAAGCTATTCAATATTTATAAATAATATATGCAGTAAAACTAAACATGTATTCTGGGATAAACAAATAAATCCATGTATTAATTGGAGGTATTTCTAAATTTCATATAAGTAAAAAAATATCATAATTAATTTATTATATTGTATTATATTCTTTCTGTCTGCAAATACTACAATACCTCTAATCCAGTAATATTCCAGTTCGTTTTCAAAGAACATACTCTGACTGTTTCTAATATTTCAGGAACTTCGAGCACATTAAGCAAGATCTTACAGAACCCCAAAAAATTTGCCACAGATGCACCATCGATAAGTGTCATCAAGTTATCAAAAATTGCCGAACCTAGTCTACAAAAATCGAAATTTTCAATAGAAGAAAATGAACTTCATATTCCACATTGCTCCTTCGGATCAATTTCTTCAAGTACCGAGATCAATAGAATTCGCCCAATTTTTACTCCAAGATATCGATGTCCACGATGTGCTACCTGGTATTCGCACAAAAATTCTTTGAATGAACATTTGCAGTTTGAAAATTGTGCAGGACAAAAGTTAAAATGTCCCTGGTGCGATGAAACTTTTCGATTAGCGCAGCAACTCACAGTGCATGTTGCAAGACATAAGCGTCAGGAGTTAAAAAAATATCATAATTAATTTATTATATTGTATTATATTCTTTCTGTCTGCAAATACTACAATACCTCTAACAGTAATATTCCAGTTCGTTTTCAAAGAACATACTCTGACTGTTTTCTAATATTTCAGGAACTTCGAGCACATTAACAAGATCTTACAGAACCCCAAAAAATTGCCACAGATGCACCATCGATAAGTGTCATCAAGTTATCAAAAATTGCCGAACCTAGTCTACAAAAATCGAAATTTTCAATAGAAGAAAATGAACTTCATATTCCACATTGCTCCTTCGGATCAATTTCTTCAAGTACCGAGATCAATAGAATTCGCCCAATTTTTACTCCAAGATATCGATGTCCACGATGTGCTACCTGGTATTCGCACAAAAATTCTTTGAATGAACATTTGCAGTTTGAAAATTGTGCAGGACAAAAGTTAAAATGTCCCTGGTGCGATGAAACTTTTCGATTAGCGCAGCAACTCACAGTGCATGTTGCAAGACATAAGCGTCAGGAGTAAATATAGAGTAATTTTGTATTTATAATTTAATAATCTAAAGTATTTTAATTTTAGAATTTATAATTTAATTATTATTATGATTGTAGATATATTCTATTTCTTTTATACTGACGCCATATTTCGAAGGATTATCGAACCAAGCAAGTGATCTATCCAAAATCTATTAACCCAATTTTCATCGTGTGGAAGATTGCATTCGATATTCAATTAATTTGACGATTATTATTTTAATTTTTAAGTAATTGATGATTTTTAATTTCAATTTTCATAGTTTCTATATACAATATTGCATAGGTTCTATTCATTTTAACCCTTTTACTAGGAGAGACACTGCTATACGAACCAACAAGAAGTCTAGCGAACGGAACAGACAAAACATTTATTATTAATTTTTAATGACCATCAATGAAAATGTATTTGAGAACTGAAAATTACACCTTCTTTAGGAGATAAATATAAAAGTTACAATAAAAAAATATAATTCTCATTATTTTTATTATCGATGCCAGGTTCGATACTCTGAATGTCGTCTATAGGCGACAATCGTACACGCAGGTAGTTTTGCGTATGTCTCCTATAGACGACACTTTTAGCCTAAGGGTTAACATATGCAAATTTTCTCTGATCTTATGCAAAATAAGTTTAAGGTTTTTTATTTCTCAAGTATTGTTTATGTACAATTTATTTATATTGTATTAAATATATGATATTATATTTCAATATTAAACATATATGCGCATTTACAACTTTTGAATAATTCATGTCAATTTGCTAATAACACAGGTCCACAAGAAAAAAGTTGTCTCTATTTGGTGTGTGAAAAAATTATTGGAAAACATATGTCGCATATCCAATAGACTTTTTTTTGTGGACCTGTGTAATTAACAAATATACAGTTACAAAGCTCATATGTATTTAAAAATATTTTTTTTAAAATAAGTGATTAGTTTATATATTTTATACATATATTTATGAGTTTAGACAAGAAACTATTAATAATATAATAATATTTTTTTATCAGTTTAAATCAAATTCAAAATCAAACATGACCAAAATACAAAATTTGTAGACTAGTTGACTAGAATAATGTAATGTTACTAGCACATAGGATAGAGCGGGGCTCTATGGGGTTAAAAAGGTCCACCATCGATAACTCAAAAACAAGTACCTTAGGTATTAAAACAACTCTTTTATCTAACTTAAAATTAACAATATATCTTATAAAACAATTAACAAAAGCGTTCTTAAAGATATATATTAACGTCTCGTAAACAAAATAACAATGCTTACAGCCAAAAAAACTAATAACGAGAGAAATTACTTTTGTTATGAATCGCCGTTTATCTCCGTGGTTATTCATCTTTTTTCCTCAACTTACAAATATTTTTGATATTTTTTTTTAACTATATATAGTTGTTTATAGTTGTATAGTAACGAGAGAAATTATATAGTTAAAAAAATAAAAAAAAATATTTGTAAGTTGAGGGAAAAAGATGTATAACCATGGAGATAAACGACAATTTATAACAAAAGTATTTTCTTTCGTTGTTAGTTTTTTTGGTTGTGAGCACTGTTGTTTAGTTTAGGAGACCTTAATATCATTTTAAATTGTGCGTTTTCAACTGTTTTATAAAATATTTTGTTAATTTTAAGTTAGATAAAACAGTTTTTTCATATAACCTCTACAAAACCTTACACGTTGGTAGGGGTAAATCCTTACATTCGCAATGGTGTAACTTTAAATAATAAAAAATAGTAAATAAAGTTAAAAAAGGCAATTTTATTAAATATATTGAAATATATAGTTATTCCTTAAAACCAGATCAAGGTTATATGCAGTGTTATCTCTGTAAGAAATGTACTCATGAAATTTATATTTTGCATTAGTTAAATAATGTAGCTATTATTTCAAAAACTCTTCTGATATCAAAAATAAGACTTTGAACCTAGTTGGCTTCTTGCCTCCCATTTTACCCTGCCTATGGGGTAAAAAGACGCAGGTGACAAATTTTTGAAAAATGGCGCATTTCTACAATGATGGGAGTTTTACTTAACATAATCAGATAGTTGTTTGTTCAACACGTATTATTTGTTGCGATATAATTTGCTTGGTTTTCACGATATAATTGGTCAAAGTCAAATTAGACCTTTAAAACTATACCAGTTTGTTTTTTAAAATAGTCAAGCATATAGAATAGTAGTTGAAATTATAAATTATTAATGCAAAATAAAATATTTTATATACCAATCAACATTGTACAAAACTATAAAATAAATAAATACTACATTCTTAATATAAATTTATTCAGTAAGTATCAATATCTAATAAATATGTGTGGTTTTCACTATATAATTGCTCAAAATCAAATTAGACCTTTGTGCCCCACTCTATCCTATGTGCAAATCAAAAAACTATACTAATTTGTTTTTTAAAATAGCCAAACATATAGAATAGTGGTTGAAATTATAAATTATTAACACAAAATAAAATATTTTATATACCAATCAACATTGTACAAAACTATGAAATAAATCAATACTAAATTCCTAATAAAAAATTATTCAGTAAGTATCAATATCTATCAAATCTATGTATTTTTTCATTGGTCTACTTCCGTAGTCAGGTATGGTTTTTCCCCCGAAAGCTCTCGCTAATTCCACCCTTCTATTCGCAGGTCGCGATCCGTTGATTTTCTACGACATGAGGGCTTTGGCGCTCAGCATGCGTCAACATCACTGTGCAGCTTGCGGCCGATCGTACAAGCACAAAAAGCATTTGACGTCACACAAGAGATACGAATGCGGAAAACAACCCCAGCATCAGTGCCCTTACTGTGATTATAGGGTTTTTCATAAATTTACACTACCGCAACATATTAGGACTGTTCATAATGTTACGGTGACCACTAAGGATATATCGTAAGATAGTGAAAGATTGAGTAATTTGTATATTTCATTCTGTGATTATGAATCTTAATGAAGAGGGATTGAAATTTTGTCTGAACGAAAGTTGCATGAATTTTAAATTTTCTAAAAATAATTGAAATTGTCAATCTCGATAAGTTCTAAATTCCGAAAATGGCCAAAAAATCGGTTGCAACTAAAAATTTCGAGTGAATAAAATTTTGCCTGAACGCAAGTTGCATGTATTTTTAAATTATCTAAAAATAATTTTAGTTGTCGACAAGAATCTTCATATTTCAATAAGTTCTGATTAGCGAAAATAGGCAAAAAATATTTTTCAACTAGGAATTTCAAGTGATTTATATCACTTTCCATTGAATACTAATCAATGGTGATTATAAGGGTTTTCATAAATTTACACTACATATTACGACTGTTCATAATGTTACGATAACGATTAGGGATATATCGTAAAATAGTAAAAAGTTGTGTAAATTTTATATATTTCATTCTGTGATTTCATATTTTAATAAAGAGTGATTGAAATTTTGTCTGAACGCAAGTTGCATGAATTTCAAATTATCTGGTTGCCAACTAGAAATATCTTCATATTTCAATAAGTTCTGAATTGCAAAAATGGTCAAAAAATCGATTTCAACTATAAATTTTGAGTGATTTAGTAGATCAATTACTATTAGATCAATGGCGATTATAAGGTTCTTCGTGAATTTTCATGACCACAACATATTAGGACTGTTCATAATATATTACGTTAACGAACAAGATTATACCAAAAACGGTCAAAAAATCAGTTCAACTAGAAGTTTTGAATGAGCTAGTAGATGACTAATCAGTGGTGATTTTAGGGCTTTCCATAAATTTACAATACCACAACATATTAGAATATCGTTACTTTTACCACTAAGGATATAATGTTAAAATGTAAAAAAAAATTGAGTAAATTTTATATTTCGTTCTGTGATTCCAAAATTTAATAGAGTATTTTTCAATTAAGAGTAATTAAAATGTTTCCTGAATGTAAGTTTCATAAATTTCAAATTATCTGAAAATAATTGGAATACCAACAAGATTCTTCTGGTTTCAATTAGTTCTGAATTACGAAAATGGCCAAAAAATCGTTTTCAACTAGAAATTTGCGATGGGTTAGTAGACTGACCATTGGATACTAATCAATGGTGATTAAAAGGTTTTTCATAAATTTTCATTACATATTAGGACTATTCATAACGTTACGTTAACGACTAAGGATAAAAAAGCTTAGTAAATTGTATATTTCGTTCTGTGATTCCAAATTTTAATAAAGTGCAAATGGAATTTTGCATCGAAGCAAGTTGCATGAAATTCTAAATATAATCGAGCTTTTCGACAAGAATCACGTAAATAATTCCGAAAATTGTCAAAATTTGTTTTCAACTAAAAATTTCAAATGATTAGTCGATCATTTTCTACTGGCTTCTAATCAATACCAACAAGAAACTTGTAAACTTCAGTAAAGGAAATTATTCGAATATCTAATCTGATAGCATTGAAGTGGCTCGATTTGTACGTAAGAACAGTGAATGTTAACGGTATCTAAAGCCTATTAAAAGAGATTGAAATATTTATAATAAGCCTAATAACAATTAATTAAAAATAAACTGGCTGTTCGATCTTTATCGACAACAAATCAGCACAATTTCCAACTAATATCTTTCTCAACTGAGTTATCAAAATCGGTTCATAATAATTGCGAAAACATCGATAAAAATTACGCCTATATAAAAAAGTGGCTAAAACGTAACCGACTGTAGCCGACATTGAATTTTATCACATACACATGTTTTTTGAAGCATTCTAGATTCTCCTCCCATGAAGTACTTCCTAATGGCGGTCCCATTGGGAAAGGGGTCGAAAAAGAAAAGGTTTTGAGGCCGATTATTTGAGTCTGGGATACTTAAACATATTTTCTTTGCTATATTCATTTTTTAATGATTGTGCCAAACGATTCAGAATGACTTAACGAAGTTAATTTATGAAAGACATATCATTAATCAATCCAGACAATTATATAAAATTATATCTTAAAAATTCATACT